TGACAGCAAACTGAACCTGATTTGGATTACAGGGAACAGGACCTAAAGTAATAAATCAAGCTTGAATGGATGCATAAAGTGAATCCATGATTCACTAGATAATGAACAAATAACTGCAAATGAACAAGTATGGAACTCGTACTGGATAGGGAAGTTCAAACATGACTTGTATATGAGCCACAATGCCAGACTCTTTAATGAATAATATGGCCTATTCATATTAACTTAAGTGCAAATGCTAACCAGCAATGCTGCTAGTGTTATCATTCACATCACAAATCAACTGGCCATATGTTGGAAAGCTACAATGTGTGCAACAAATTATCTAGAGATGGCGATGAAAGATATGTGGCGAATAATCTCTCACGCGTCATGTGCAATGAATGCATCGTTCCTACAAACAAATCAAGAAAGTTGTGAGAGAGATAATCTCCTCACTATCGGTGCCAATTAACTTACAAATGGATACATTAAGCTTTCTAAAAGCGATGATAATGAGCATGCAATGATCGCAAGGACGCCCTTGCCAATCAAGTATTTAGCAAATACACGAGTTCCCTGCAAACGAAGGAAGTTGACTTGTAAACGAATACAACAAATTTGCCTACAGTTGAGAGTGTTCTTTGGAGTTATATATAGGAGCGTATAACCAATGCTAGAACATTCGCATAGTCTACAGCAATAAAATGGCAAGCGAATACATTTAAACCCTACAAGAGACAAAGGGATTTGACATGCAACGAACTGTCAATTAAGATATGTTCGAAGAATTCAAAGAAAGTGTAACTCTCATGCAATTAATGTCACTTAATTACAAGTGAACATGCCAATCCACCTATGATCAACCAAGCTTATAGCAAATATACATAATGATGTGTATGATGAATACGGGCATCCACAAGCAAATGTAAGAGAGTCCTCATTCATACAGCAATCCACTCACCGGTGACGAGGAATAATTTGTGATGGATGTTGAATCATTCATACAGCCATTAACCACTCAACATTAGTAATACATCGATCTTCTACCAGTAGAAGCAGACAACATGTAGTGAAATGCAAACACCCATAAGTGACTGTAGAAGATTCATCATACACACGATATGTTATCCATGAGCAAAATGCCAAAGGGCTACAACAAATGCAAGCTCCTACATACTGTCGTAGAAGTTCCGTCGTGCACCCAACATGTCACCTACGGGCAAATACAGAAGAACTATGACGAATACAAGCTTCTACGAATTGTCTTAGAAAACCCATCATACATCCAAAAATGCCTTATACGCACATCGATATGTATACACACAAACACAAAAGTGCTCATGCATGCACATTAACCTGTATACATGTAAGAATATACACCAACATGATCCCCGACGAGCGTGTCGAGCGTGTCGTATTTACACATGTGACATCTGATGATGCTGCACAGGCCAAAAAATGAACTTAAGTTCAAGTCCAATCATTCTCCTTGATAGGACGAGAGTCGACATGACATGAACAAATGAACAAATATATGATCGCGTCATCGACCGAGATCTTTGGTTTTATACGTTCATGATAGACCTTCAAGGTCGATCAACACGAAAATTCACAAATATAAGCATAAAAGCAATGGACCCAATCCTTTGTCGGCAACTAGTAGAGTGGATAAGGTCCAACAAATAATTACAAAAATGTCAAATTTGTCTCATTAATAAATACTCACCCCAAGTCTACAAGGTACCCTTGGACGATGCAAACCATGGTTGCCGACAAGAATCCTTCTATCAGGTTGGGTCGACTACCTCTTCTGACTAAGTAGATCATAGACCATGATGGCTCGGGACGACAGAACCATGGGATCTTGATCGGGTCCATCATCCCCCCATCATCCGCTTTAAGTGCCATATGATGAAATAGTTTTAAAAATCAATTTTTCAAACACCTAAATTCATGCTACTACTGTATGACAGATAACACATATCTCTACATATATATTTGACAACTAACTTTAATCAAAAGTTCTCTCTCATTATCAAGAGGGGTGATTAACTACACAGGGTTTATGCTTATAGGAAATCAAAACTCGTATCTAAATTCCTCACAAAATGAGGGCGAATCTTTGGGTAGTCTTATCTATAAACTCAATCTCCCTTCTGAAAATTTACCCCATAACTTAAAGCATTAAAACTTCCTCGAAGCAGAGGGGAGGCCGGGGTGCAATTTTTTTGAACCCAAACACCACCACCACCCTGTCTGCTACTTCTCCTTTCACTTTCCTGGTATGACTCTAAGTGAATCCTAACACTGAGCTCAATGAGACCTCTATTACATTAAGATGCAGCTTTTCCTCCTCTCCCCCTGTCTCACTCTTACCTCCCTCAGTTTCCTCATCCTCACAAGCGGTAAGAACCTAAAGAGTTCGGTCCTTGCACCTATGCCCAGGAGTATACTTCTCATCACATATGAAGCATAGCTCATTCGCCATCTTCTCCTCCATCTCTCTCTCTGTCAATCTCTTGAAGTTCACCCCACTTCCTCCTCCTACCAATGCCGGCCCCTTGGGTGCTAAGATAGTGGTGGTCATCTTGTAAGAGACATCTGAACTACTGCCTCTAACTCCCGTCTCCTAGTACTTCTGATTCTCCACAAATTATGCCAACTCCATAGCCTCTCCTAAGTCACGAGGTCTCATGACCCTCACCACCGCCTCGATCTCTGATTTGAGTCCCTTGATGAAATTCCCCTCCAAAACAGTCTCCGATAGTCGATCCAATCAAATCGATAGGTACTTAAACCTTTCTCAATAATCTGCCACTTAGCCTTCTTGTACTAGTGCAAGGAATTGTTCATAGAAGTCCCCTCCCCTGCTGGTTTGGAAATATTTCAATAAGCATTCCTTGAACTCCCTCGAACTCCGTATAGGCCTCCTCATGTCTCTACAATGTTACCAAACCAATGCCTTCCCTTCCAAACATAAGTCAGTTGCCGTCAATTTCTCCTCCTCCGTCAACCCATTGATGCTAAAATACCTCTCTACCTTATAGATCCACCCATATGAATCCTCCCCTTCAAAAATGAACATCTTCAGCATTCGGACCTTCGGATCTCCCACATTCCCCTGATTCCTCCATAATTTCCCCATGCCCAAGTGTTCGGTCCTCCCCAAGTATCCCAATCCTCCCTTCCACGCTCATACCCATACCCATCTTTACTTTCTCCCCTCATTCCTTCAAAATCAACACCTCTCCTATCATATTCCCCATCTTTTCTTTCTCAATCAACACTCTGTGGTTCATGCGGATAAGCACATCTCTCTTCATACCTTCCATCTCTCTCTCCTCTATGATCTCCACATTGTTTTCTCTCCTACGAATTTCAGAATTCGTATTTCTCCCTACCAGACTTCTTGCCTCCGATGCCGCCATTTGATTTTGATTTTTCAATATCTTCTTCACCATCTCATGAAGATCAGAATTTCTTCCATGGACGATATTCGATCATCTACCATTGCTTTCATTTGGTTCATCTCCCCTTCAAGGTGTTCTTCCAACGCAGCCACTTTCTTGGCCGCCATCAATAACCGAATTTTTGTAGAACTCGAAAATCTAGATCTTGACCCCAAAAACAGAAAACAACACCTCTTCGGATAAAAATCAGTCACCAGATTTAACAAAAACATCCCCAAAAACAGTCCCAAAAACTGCTCTGATACCAATTTGATAGGAAACAATAGGAAAAACAAGAAATAATTGTTGAAATCAGAATTTCAGCAGATTAATCAAATATATTTTTAGGTTTTTAAGGATGAAAACACAAAAAAAAACTCTTGATTGCTAGAAGATGAAAAGAAATAGCAAGATATAAACGATCCTCTATTCAAGAGGAGGATCAACCTCTCTAAAACTCTCTAAGACGCCACTAGAGGCCAAGACACCAAAGAGAACTCAGAAATTAGCCACCAAAAAGATGTCCTAACCCTAATACAAACTCCTACTTAAAGCAAACACAAAATTAGTACCGAAGGACTAAACAACCCTCAACCAAATAGCTCTAGCAAGTGGACCACACTCCTAAGGGGGGTGACTAAGCAGCCTGCGAACCAGTTGGCTTGCACCTGCTGTACTGCAGGGGCCGGCCCACAGGTTGGGTCGGCTAGACCAGTCCAAGCGTATCAAGATCCCACTTTTTTCTATCTCAATGAGAGAGGGAACACGAACACAGCCACTTGCTGTGAAAATGAATGTTAAATATGGAGAAGAGGACATTAATACTACTATTTTCACTGCCATCTTTTCTTAGCTTCAGGAGATTCATCCCCTTTTCCTTTCTTTGTTGCAAAAGCTTCTTTCTACTATGGCTGAAAGCTTAAACACCGCTCCTCTCTCTTATTTTTTTATGATTGTGGAATGCTTCAGCATAATACAATCATCTCCGTGTATAGTCCTTAGAAGTGGTAGGCATCAAGTTAATAAGATAGATGATGGTAGGAATTATAATATAATGTTATAGTAGTTAGGCGGAGGGTGGTCATATAAGCTTATATGTTGAGTAATAAATTTCACCTTCATATCTTCACAATCAAAACAGAGTTCCAAAGTTCTTGTTTGATAGAAAATTGATAAAAGTGAGTTTTTTTGAAGATGAGAATGAATTCCACTTATGAGGTATTCGAAGTGACTTTCACTTTTGCTTTTAAAATAAGATAATAATAAAACAGAATAAAACTAGAGGAGGATAAAATAACAAAACAATACATAATGAATGAGAAGATGTATAAAAAAAAACCTCATCAACCAAGCATTGAAATGAAACCCATAAGAGGAGAGTTCATGCAAAACAAATGAACAAACATAAATGAAACCCATATCCAAACCTAAGCCCCAATCACTTCCAAATTATTACGTCAAAAAAATTGGCCTTAAATAACTTGAAATTGAAACTTGAATTGTTAATAAATACTCTAAAAATAGCTTATATGGAAAAGTAATAGGATCGCAATAGCAATAAATCAAAACCTCCACAAAGTATCAGAAAAATTCTGCTGGTTTGGAAATGCAGAAGAAGGAGATGCACGAGTTGATATTCTTCGATAGTCATCCCTCAGATTAACTTGTTCAGCAATTTGTCCATCAATTGGAATTTGCTGAACATTGGAATTTGTTTGACCTTGAGAACTTGAAGCAAACAAAGGTCTCCGGCATGTAGGACAGGAATACACTTCAGTCAAGCCTTGATCCAGCCTATAGCAAACACATGCCCAGAATACAGCCAAGTAAGGCACTTGTTACAAAGGAATGACACTATTTGAAATTAATATAGATAACAGCTAAAAAATTTTACATAATTTTTAAATATTGGACTATAATTAAATCATAGTGGCACCAATAGCATCAACAAGAAAATAATTAGTTTTCAGTAAACAGAAGAAAAGACTCATAGAATAATGAGTATGCTGATTATGTCAGAAAGAATAATACATAAAGCAAACAGTGCTAAACTAAGTAGACCTATGAACTCTATGATGAATCCATATTAACTTTCCACTCGTTAAATATAATTGTACATTTCCTTAGTTTGGTGAAGGAAGATGGAGTAATCGCGGAGAAACTACGAGCAAATCTATGTAAGATTTGCTAGTTGATCATCTTTTTTTTTAATGGTGAAGACTAACTTATACAGAGATGGAGCAAAAGATTTGTTAGTCCTTAATTGTTGACAAAGAGAGAAAGAAAAGAGCAGAAGATATCCTGGAAACCAACTAGGAGAAACCTAGCACACAGCCTAGGAGGAAGAGGCAATGAAAAGCTTCATTCTTTTCAATAATCATAAATTTCATATTCTGGTTGTTGCATGACCCTAGGACCTTTATTTATTAGAGAAGATCATACAATATGAGACGAATTAAGAAAATTTATCCTGAATTGAAAAAAAAAACTATATTACCCATTACAAATAAATAGAGAGCAAAAAAATGAGCAAATAAAACAAATACAATGATAACTAAATTCATGCTTCTCCTTCTTCATTCCTCCCATGGGACATAGAACTTTACTAGAAAATTAAAATGTTGCTGGAGAAAAAACTAGGAAGGCCTTCTATTGTAGTGCCGAGAAACTGAAAATTCGTCTTGCTCAGAAGACATTCCAAAGAAAAGACAGAGGACACATCCGAAGAAGAGATGAATGAGTTACTTTCCCAGAATGGAATGGACAAAAAGGGAACAAACAACATCATTTGTAACACAATAATTCAAGAGAATTATAGAATCTCTTGAAAATTCAACCATCACTTGCAAATCTGTCTTTAAGAATCCCTGGATCAAATTGAATGAATTAGGAAATTTATTTTGAAGTTAAATTATTGCGTAGATGAGGAGAATCCATATACCTTAATTCTATTTCAATTTTTTTTTTTTCAAAAGGATAGGAATTTATAGCATATGCTCAATTAGTTGGGCCTAAGGCCAGTTATAAGTGTAAGGTGAGCATAAAATAAATGACGGGAGCTTGGGCAAAGGGGAATTGTTTGACTCTACTAAGAGAATGGTTGGAAGTTTTGATAGGATATGTGGGAAAATTTTATACAGAGGAGAGGAATGAGAGTGTTTCCAAAAGAGGTATCAAGTAGAATTAGGATAGGGGAGGTTGTTAGGGTTTGTTAAGAGAGAAATAAGAGTTGGATGAGAAGAGATGGAAGATAATCTTTTCTCATTTTTCTTGTTGAGACAAAAAGGGATGGGAGGGATATCTTATAAAGAGAATAATGAGGCAAATAATAAAATGATAGGAAATTTATGATAATAGAAAGTGTAATGCAGAGAAAATAAAGGAGAGGAATAGGAAAAATAGGGATTCTAGATCCTTCATGTGATGAAGAAAGAGATAGAGAGGGTAATAAAAAGCAAGTTGATCAATAGAAAGAAAAAGCTGGTTTAAGTTATTTCAAAAAAGAAAAGAAAATTGGCAGAGTGCGTTCGACTATTGCATAGTAAGGGAATAGTAAGGGAGTTTTGCAATATTTTGACTCGAGTTTTAGAGGTTTTTTAAGTTAATTAGACGACACGGATAGGGCCTTGAAAAGAGAATGCACCCATTATGATGGTCGATGTCTTCAAAAAAAACAAGCACATATCATTGAGAAGAGAAGATATAACTTCATAGTCATTGAAATCGACCTACATCACAAAATTAATCACAACTTATTAAAATGTAGATGATGCTTCCCAAAACAAAGTTGAACTCTAATACCACTCGATGTAGAGAGATGTCCGAAGACTTTAGAAAGACTTTGAAATTTGAATAGTTGAAGATGGTAGAGACAAGAACCAATCATACAACCAAGGATAAGTTGGCATATAAAGCATCATTATCATTCAATAATCATACTCAGATCCTATGACTAGTCTTTATAATCAAAGATCATACAAAATAAGAATAAATAATCTCATCTTAACCTGATAAATTATCATATTTACATTATAATTAAAATAAGGAATTCTAAAAAATGAACCAACAAAAATATAATGAAAACTCAACTAAAATAAATGATTATCCTACAACATTAATGCTTGAAATCTCTAGAGAAGCTGACGTAACAAGGAGACAATCCATTAAGATAGCCATGCCAACCGCCCTTATGCAAGTGACATTTTACAGAGATGAGTTTGAGGCTATGATATTAATTTTCTGATCTTAAAGTACAGTCACCACAATTCAGTCACTACAATTGGCCAAAGCCAACTTCACGTGATATGTATGTATATATATGTATATATATATATATATATATATATATGCGTGTGAAAGTCTACTACATGAAACAACAGCTACTGAATCATTTATAGCTGTTGCTGCCTCAAATAATAAAATCTTTCTAAATCAAGATGATGAGTAGATCACATGATCTAATTTTATTGATTAACTAACGCGAAAAAATGTTCCTATTTTGCAAATGAAATGGATTTATGTTGTTGACTTCTCCTTGGATCCTCCTAATGATTTAAAAGAATAAAATATGAAAAGAGTAGCATACATACATAGAACAGCCAAAAATGGGTAATTCAAACCAAGCATAAAGTGCAGCTAACATGCAGTTTCACAGCAGACAACATAAGACGATGATTTTTTTTTTTTTTTGAAAAATAAGAAATCATATTTTATGTGTAACAAGCAGCGAAGTACACAAGAAAACATATCATACCAAGATCTTAAGCATGCTAGATGAAAGAGGTGATTGCAGGATAGTTTTTTAGCCCTGGCCATTGGTCCCTGCAATATACCAGATAAATTAATCTAGTTGGAAATCAAAAAGATAAATCTAGAAAAAAAAATATAAGGATGAAATTCTTACCCTACAAATTGCACATTCATCATCAAATGCAGATAGCTCTTCAGTTGTAGCATCAGGAAGAGATCCATCAAGGGAATTTAAGGCCTTCTTCAACTTGATGAATCCCTTCACCCTCTTAACCAGTGCACTAAATATCGCCTATTAAATTGTTCATACAAATTCAATATGCTGTTGTCAAATTACTGTCAAAAGGATAGGAAATTTCTTTTTTAAATGATTCAAACCCCTCCTCTTTGGAGGATTAGAGCAGTTCCACCCAAGCACTAGCTCTGTAGACAAAGGATAGGAAAAGCAAATGAAATAATATTAAAAATAAAAGGATAATATTTACACGCAGGTTTAGGAAAAGAATCGCATCCACAAGGTGAAATGCCATGCCATGAAGCCACCATATCATCACGTAATGACCAACTCCCATCAACAAAGTCATCATGTCTAGAAGAAAACCAAAATTTCGTAGAAGTTGCCCCTTCCACTCTGCCAAAGACCCTGCAACCAAAGTAACTTATATGCATGACCGCAGCCAAAGTTTGTAATCTAACAAATTAAAGCAGCTGAAATTTATATTTAATAAAACTCATGAAATGACAATACTTTTTGCATTATAGCATTATTGATGTGATGTGTTTTATATTTCAACGAAGGAAAAGGGGAGTAACCGGTTAGATAGAAGAATAATCAGGAATATCACATGAGAACAAGGATATAATATATCAATCAGTGAGAAACATATCAGGGCATAATATATCTTCAAGACAAATGAATCTAGCACAAAATTACTAACGTAGTACAATATAAAATTTTTTTAACTAGCAACAAGATTATAGTTAGCTCATTCGGCTTCTCAAGCAAATATATTCTAAAGCACATCAAAAAAACATTAGAGTACCAACTTAAGACATGCAATTAAAAATGTTATTGCATTCTGAATAACAAACATAACCAATAATATGCAGATCCACCATGCCAGCTTTATATTGATTTGTTGCAAAAATATATAACCCAGAATAAATTGAAAAAGCATGCATTACTTCAGTTTTGCTTATTCATCACCTACTACAGAACTATTAAGTGAAATCACAGTGCACACGTACAACTAACATAGTCAAGTAATTAAAGCCATGACATTACTAATTTAGCGTTTAACAAAAATGATAAGACATTATAGATAGTCCTTATTTTAGATCATGTCCATAATAATGAGCTGCATCTTAAGTTATTTATGCAAGGTGGTTCAGATGCCTGCACTGGTTATGAAATGGCTCATTTGATAAGTAGGTGAGGTGTTGATTAAGTTATCAGTGCCACCATAATGATGCAGTTTTCTTCTTAAGTGACCTATCCATCAGTTCAATCTTTAGTTAACTTATTGATGGATAATTGCAGGGGAGGAAAACTGGCAGCATAATGAAAATGGTAACTACTGGTAAAAATTAATCAACTTCGGAAGCCAGTTTGCACACAGGCTTATATTGAATGGAGGCAAGGGTGCATTCAACATGATAACGAGTATTTGAGAATTACAGATAGGCATTTTAACGAAATAAAGAAGAGAGTCTTGGGGTGGCATAAATTTTGACTTTTGATGTCTAAACCGTTTTCTTGGATTCAATTTCATGATAAGTTTGAGAATTTAGAGAAAAAAAAAACTTGCAGTTTATTTCCTTGTACAAGCATAGGCATTTCATGACAAGGCATACCTGAAAAATAATTCTAAATTATTTTTAGAATATTACAATAATTTAGATTATTCATATGATTTTATATCATTTTCACTGTTTTCCTGTATTTAATTCATAGGAGTATCTTTATTTTGACTTAGATGATAGAATAGTTAAAACTTATTTAGATATCAGTTCTAAATTTGCTCACAATTATAGTTGTAAACACTTGCATAAATAAGAGTCAGATAGATGTAATTTAGATGAATTATAAATGAAATATGAAATTTATTTAAAAAATAAATAAATAAATGAAATATGAAATATTCTGGCCCCTCTGTTCTCTCTCCTCTCACCTACCATCAAGCTTAGCTCCACAAATCTCCTCTCTTCCCCTTCAACAACATTCTTGATGGGGACATCAGATCATCGTGGAAAGTTTAACAGAGACGTGGTCGCCGATCTACGGCCACGATCGAGTCTTTATATTTTTGAGTCGTTGATGTATTTTTATTTTCATGTATTTTGTTATTTGCTTATGTGATTTTATTATTTCCCGTTGTACCCTCTTATGGGAGTTGTCGTATGTAAGCCCAAAGGGCATTTGTGTCTTTTTGTTTTGAGTCATGTGTATGAGGCTATTTAAAGCCCTACTTTGTTCATTTTCAAGTTAATGAATGATTGCTTATGATATTTTCTTCTTGGATGATTATTGAGAGAGCTTGAGAGCATAATGGAGACAATTCCCTAGGAGAGGGAGATCGTATTACCCACAAACCTTGGAGACGGCCGGGTTCGTGGTTTTCTCTTTGTATTTTCGTTTCTCCCTCGTCACCTCCCCTCATTCGTCTTTGTCGCTTTAAACGCTACCACCCAAATTCCCCTCCTCCTCCCCACAGTTAATTCCCCAAAATTATCACCCACAACCGCCGACCACCAAACCTGATTCTCCTAACCCGTCGGCTCCAGTAATCCCACCGTCGGTTCAGCCCACTCCCTCTTCTCCCTTCAATTCCATTGCCTAATTGGGATTGGATCTTTTGGAGACAGATTTTTTTTGAATTCAAATTGTCTATTTGAAATTTAAAATATTCCCTAAAATATCAAATCTATTTTAGGAAAGTTCCTAAATTAAATCTATTTGAATTTTGAATTTGAATTGGATTTAACTAAAAACTTTCCTCTTTACGAATCCCAATTAAGTAACCACAATTGAGTGTAATAATGGCTCCCCATAATTCCTGCTCTCTTCCACTAATGCCACTGGCTACCTGGATTTGAATTGGGATTTATTTCCTAAGTACAGAATCCTATTTTAGGCAATTGATCCAAGCCACGTTAATTTCCCTCTAGCCGAATTTCCACCAGGCCTTTTATGTTAGATTTATTCAAATAGGAAAGTCCTATTTTGGAAGCAAATCAAGCCTTTATTTTCCCTCCCTCTACACTTAATTAAATCTGAAATTTCCTCAGATTTTGCTCCAAAATCTGAAATTGTTTCAGTTTTCTAAGAACAGAAACTTAGAGTTAATTTCATCTACACATACGCGAGAAACTTCTTTCTCTTCAGCGACGATCGAGACCATTAGCAAGACGGAAGCCATTGACGAACACTTCGAAGGCCTTGAGTGGAGGATCTCCACCTCTCCTTAGCAAAGGTTTCTCTTTCACTTGCATCTTATTTCTTTTAAAGTCTAAATTCTCATTGATGTGATTGTATTCGCGAAAGTCTCCTCCAAGTGCTCTTGCTAAGCTTAGTAATCATAGGGATTGAGCGTACTTTCTTTGCATCATAAATCTCGTTGTTAGATTAGGGATTACTTTGAAGACTACTATTTTGTATTGTTTTATTTTTCTTATTTATTTTGAGAGTTCAAAGCTCGGAACATGTGATTTAGCCTACGCAAAGTATCTCTTTATTTGTTTTATTCGTCGTTGAGAATTGCTAGTAATTTTAATCCAAAATTATTCTAATCTAAGAGTTGTGCAATGCCTAAATGAATCCACAAGGATCACATCTAAGTAGTTCTACATCATCTGGTATCAGAGCATGGTATGCTCTTGCATGTTTTAGGATTCCTGGTAGTTTTCCTTTTTGTGCTTTCATTTTGCATCAATTTCATTTAGAAGCTACTCATTTTATCCCTAAGGTGCTACTAAGTCATTGTGTGTCATTTTTTTAGCATAAAACATCTTAAGTTCTCCCTACACCCATTGTTTAGTGGTTGTCCAGAAAATTCCTGCAGCTTTCGGCAAAAACTTTAGGACCCCCATTTAAGTGTTTATTTGCTGTCCTTAGCTTCGCAATCATTAATACTTGTTAGGGGACTTAGTACTTGAGTGTAGTTTGCTGTCCCTGAATTTCCTGCACCATATAGGGTCATTTTAGAGTGTTTTGTCATCCCATAGCTTGCTGTCCACTTCCTAGGAAACCCTCCAAGTACCCGATTGTGTTTAGGAATGGACCCGGAACAACTAGGAATGGCCTTAGACCTCTTGGTAGGTCAAATGAACACTATTAGTCAGCAACTCAAGGAAAACCAGTCGGATCTAACTGAGCTTCGTAGGACTACCACCGAGAGATTTGATACACTTGAGCGAACTAGAGACCGCCCTACTCACACCCCATCGAGACCCACTTCTATGTATGGGGATGAAACCTACCTGGATGAGAGGCCACATCGGTCTAGTCATCATGCTTACTACCATGGACATGATCCACGTCATGATCCTGATTTGGATGAGAGGCATCACCGTGCCAATCATCGTGCTACCTACCACGGCCATGATCCCGATGCACCACTTATGAAGAACATTAAGGTTGATGTTCCTATCTTTGGGCACTCTCGATCCCCAGCTCTTCCTGGACTGGGTCAAAGGTATGGATAGTTTCTTTAAGTGGTATGATATTTCTGAGGCCAGGAAGGTTAGTTTTGCTGCCATGAAGCTTACGGGTAGGGCGAGTCAGTTTTGGGCGAACTTAGAAAGTCTCAGGGAAGATAGGAATGAGTACCCCATTGTATATTGGTTGTCCATGAAGCGGGAACTCAAACAGAAGTACTTACCTTCGTCATACTTCCCCCGCCTATTGGACAGGCGGAATAGGCTGACCCAAGGCAACAAACCAGTGAAGGAGTACATCGCCTCGTTTGATGACTTCTTGATTCGCTGCAAAGGGGAGACCTCGACCACCCTCGCACAGATCTTATCTATGTTTCGAACCGGGTTGCGTGAGGATCTACGCAATGAGTTATTTGCCCGGAACGTCATTACACTGGAGAATGCCTACAGCCTAGTGCTTGATCTAGAGGAGTCCCGTTCTCAGCACCCTAAGCGTTCCCACGATTCTAGACCCTCGTATAGATCAGCCGGTAGTTCCACCCCGCACACTCCTGCTCCACGACCCACTCCGGGGAGCACGACCCGACCATCCACGGGTCCACCTGCACCTACATCTGACTCTAGAAGTAAACCTCCCACCCCATATGCCCCTCGGTCCAGTCCCGGGACCAAGTGCTTTCGATGTCAGGGGTATGGGCATATCGCTTCTCAGTGCTCCAGTCCTTATAAGGTTTCGATTGTTGAGGAAGTAACTGAAGACGATCTCGAGCCCGAGGTTGATCAGATCCACTAAGTTGAGGAAGAAAGTGAATACTTCGAGGAGGACGACGACACTACGGTCCTCAATTGCCTTCAGAAATTGGATACCCCTCCCATATGCGTGGTGAGATGTGCTCTATCCCACCCGACACCCACTGATGACTGGCATAGGACCTCGATTTTTCACACCTACACCAAAATCAAAGACAAGAACTGCAAAGTCATAGT